ATTAAATTCACCCAAAAAAAAATTTTGGTTAAAAAATGCAACACATCAATTGAATTGAAACCCAAATGTCATCGAATTCAGAATTGGTTGGAAAACTTCAGGAATATGCTACATGTTGTAAATGGAAGAGGCACCCAAATGTAATGTTTTCAACCAATTTACATATAAATATAGAATGAATCTTTTGAATCAAGTATTGACAACCCAGATACCATCTACATCTACTTTGACCCATATCAATTGGGAAATCGAATTTGAATTCAAATGTGCCATTACAAGAAGAAAAAAATTGCAAAGGTAGGCAATCAGCAGAGCTGAATCAAATAAAATAAAAACACTTGGATGGATTAGATCTGGAACAGAGAAAAATGAAGCAAAATGAGAAATACCCAGATCTAAATGAAACGAAACCTACCTACCTGATCCAAATGAAGCGATTATTGAGACCAAGAAAATAAATTGTGAAAAAAGAATAAGAAATGGATCTGTTACAGACAAAGGGAGGGAAAGGAGGAGGAGCAGATAGAGAGAAGTGCTCCTGAATTCCCTAAGCTGTTGTTTTGGTCATTGTCTTCTTCTTTGAACAAAATAAGAATAGCAAAGAGAGACAGACAGAGAGAGAGAGAGAAGAGGTCTTTGGCCTTGGCTTTTGGATTTTGGGTTTTTTTTTGGTTTATTGCGTTAATTTGTTTATTTTTTAAATTTTTTTTTCTCTAATCTCTATCCATTTTGACTATAAAATTTTGTTTTGAAAAAATGAAATTAATAATTTATTTAAATGGCAAAATGACGAGAAAGACAGCGCACCTTACACGCAGCCAATTAAGGAAAACAACCCTCTCCTTCTTATGATCTTATTCATTTATTTTTTATTTTTTATTTTTCTTAATTGTCATTAACCATTTTTAAATAATTCTTAATTGTGATTAAACTTTTTTTGTGTGAAGATTTTATACTTTTCTTCCATTTGGAGATGTAATAATAGTGAAGGAAGGGTCCCCCCTCTCACACCAAAAATCAATAGTGAAAGAGTGTTTGAATAGCTGGACTGCTAAAATGTCTCTATCTTGTTGTCCTTAGACAATTCAACCAATTTTATGTTGATATGCTATTGACAATTTTTCACTATTTTATGTTGAAATGTCACTGATATAGCTCAAAACTAGAATATGATATATCACTAGTCCATTATTTAAGAAGCAGGCCGATGATCTTATGTTCGAATTTCCATGTCACTTTGGTAGTGTATGTGAAACCTCTTAGGTTCGAATTCTCACGTTACTTATGATTTTGAACTTTTTCAATTTTTTTGATTGTAGGAATTCCGGTCACGTTCATATAAAATTTGAATGATCAAAATTTTCACATAGACACTTATCATCCACTTGTTAACATTTATTGGAGTTCCATAAAAAAAAAAAAAAAAAGATGTATGTTTTAAGTTTGAACATAAACCAGTTTGGCACACTTCAGCTCTCAAATTACAGACCGAACCAAACCACCAAATCGATGTCGGTTCGGATTGACACACTAATGGAGAAAAATTGTGGTGATTGGTAATCAAACAAAATCACACCAGATGTCGGTTTGGTTTCTTGGATATTTCGGCGGACCGGTTTAATGTTTTTTTTTTTACCTTTTTGGTCATAATTCTTTAGTGTTTCATTTCAATACTGCCCAAAACTTGAGAAAACATTAAACAGCCAGCACCCATTCTTCTTTGCTTAATATCGATAAAAAAAATATATAAACGCATTCTCCTTCTCTTAATATCGTTTGTAAAAATAATTAAGAACTGATGATGATGAGAGAGATAGGAGGTGTCACAGCTCATGATGAAATTATTCCGGGTGAAATTACAGCTCATATTTTATGTATGCCAGTGCCATTTTGTGATGTCATCCATTTTCCAAAATAGAATCCCTTGCGATTGCGAAGCATCGTATCATCAACACACAAATCTTATTCTATTGCTAACGCGGTTTGCTTGCACATATTCAATGGAAGACAGGTGAAACAAAGTGCTTCTACGAACATTCTTAAACTTTCATATAGAATATATTTCCACGTTTTTTTAATGGATGACATTATAACTTAAATATTTCTTATTTTAATGAAAATTAAGAAAGGATTTTGGTCATAAAACTACAATTTTCCCTAAAATCATTATTTTTCTTATTCCAATTTTCTTTACAAATTAAATTTGTTGAAAACTCCAAAAAACAAAAACAAAAATAAAAGCCAAACGACCAACATAGTTGAAAGATTCACAAGGCACAATAAAGGAGTTTGTAGCTTAAGTGGGTAAGAGAGATCTTGTATTCGAATTCCCTTTACCTAATATCAATTGTATATATAAAATAATGCCAAAACACACTTGTCACTTGTTGTCGAGGTGTGCACAAAATGTCTCTACAACAGGAGGCAAATGTACTTTTAGAAAAAGTTGGGGAGGAAAAAGAGTGATGATTTAGATTTTATTTTTGTTCCTCAAATTCTTCTCAAGGTAAAAGCAAATTATGACATTTACGTAGAAAAAGAAAAAGAAAAAGAGAGGCTACTAAATAAATAAAGGGGGTCTAAAAAGCAACACAACTAAGAAATGTATTTTATATAGTGAAAATCTGTAATGGTGGTAAGCATAATCATATAGCACAAGTGATCAAAGGCACATGTGCTTTTTTAAACTTGTGACTTGTCAATCAAAGTAGGCCAAGAGATGCTTATTTTTTCTATTGGAGATGGCTTCACTCGGCCAACGCACGAAACAAAAAACTTGAAGATGGCTTCAGCCCTCCGTTTAAGACCACTCTGCAAATCCCAGCCCTCCTTTTTTAAACATACACATACACTTTCAATCTTACAGGCCATTTGTGTCGATATGCAGCCTCTAAGCATTCCTTGGCCTTGTGAACTTTTGACTCGAGGTAAAAGGTCCCGTTCTTGGCATTATTTTCGAAAGTGTTGTATCTCTGCACTGATTATATAAGCGATAGTTTAAATTACTCTAAATTAATGTACTTTGTGAAAAGGAGGGTTCGAACTTGGATTTAAGAAAGATTTTTCCGAACCCGTTCAAAATACATACATGAGACCATGATAAACTTCCTCCCAAGTGGTTCTCTCTGAGACATTAAGAATCTGCCTAGCTTCTTGCTCTGTTATGACCTTGGTACTTCGATGAACAGAATTCTGTAATGTTTCTTGAGCTACACCCGATTTTGAGGCAAGTACAAAATAATGCAGATAATTATGTAATAGCCTGTGTAGACATCTAAAGTTGGTATGATTTGTAGCAAGGGCAAAGAAAAGAAAACCAATAATATTTGAACTCTGCTAAATAGATACTCCTAATAAATGAAAGGTTGTAATGGGGTCAAGGAAAATGAATGTAATTCAACCACATCACATTTATGATCAATTTAGGTCTTAGCATAGGTTGTAATGGGGCCAAGGGTGTAAGGTGAGTGAGAAATAAAAGGTATGGATAATACAAAGTCCAAGGAACTCACAATGTAAGAGCATAAAACAATTGTTTCTAAGACTTCGAATCAACTTAATTGAAAATTTATTTATTCTTACATTATCAAAACTCCTTATACCTCCATTTAATTTGATTCACACTCCTTTCTTTTAATTGAACAACCGCCAATTTATTTTGAAGGCCCAAAAATGAATTTTCAATCAACCACCATTTAATCACAACTTTTCTCTTTTCTTTCACCAAAAGTGTGATTTTTTATTTTTATTTTTCGAAATGTAACACCCCTTCCCAAACTTAGCATGAAAGACACATCCTAATCAGAGCTCATGAGTTCCTTATAAAGGTAAATACTTGTTTTTTAGGCTAAGACGAGAAAATATAATTGGTTAAATGAAAGAAAAAGTTTACATGTAGGCTCAAAATAATTAACAATGGAAAATCATTCTTAAGCATGCATATGGTTAGCTTGAAAGGCACAAAGAGGGCCTTAATATCATTTCTTAAATGGCATGTAATTAAATTGCATAAGAATGAATGACTTTTAAGTGCTCAACTAAATCAATAAATAATTAGATCAAACAACAACTTAGACGACAAGAAAATAAGAGTTTGTGTATAACACTCATGAATTGAAGTACAAGGCTCAAAAGCTCACTTTATATGGTTGGTTATATAAGTCTAATTTATGCTTGATACAATTCTTTGGATCATGCAAATCCTTTAATTGGGAAATTATGAAACAAATGGCAAGTGTAAAGAAGGTTTCAAACATATCATGCTAGAACAATGCCAAATTTTATTTAAATTTTATAATAAAAAATTTTGAAATTAATTTTTTTTTAAAGAAAATTCAATTTTTATTTAAGTAATGCAAACATTTATCACAATCTCATCAAATGTATTCGGAAAGTAACTAAAAAAAAATGAAAGAAAAGAAAGCAAGACTAAAATAAATAGAAATGAACAAGCAAAAATTCAAAATAAAAACAAATTACAAAAAAATTTAAATAAGAAAACCCAAATTTACTTGCTAAACTCCAATACTCCCAAACCTGGAAATGAACATTGTCCTCAATGTTTAAAAATTAGCCACAAGCAATGTCATAATAACAAATGAAGGTATTAAAGCAAATAAAAATCACAAAATACAAAAATAAAATAAAATAAAATAATTACAAAACAAACAAACAATAAAATATATATATATAAATAATAATAAAAAAGGAAACAGTAAGCCCTAATCACACAAGCTTACACAAACTGAAACCCAAAAAACTTGAAGCCCAAAACCCACAATTTCGAAACCCAAACAACGGTGAAACCCGAACCACAATGAATTTCAAAGGCCACACGTTTTTATTTATTTATAATTTATAATTTTTGTAATTTAAAAACAAACTTGAATTGGATTATGAAACGTGGGTCCTAATGTCTCGACTCTGTGTAAGGCACTGACAAATAGTGTGAGACATGACAAGACACAAAGGCGCCGCAGATTCCGAAGCGAAAATTACGAATGTCATGGAAAGACGCGATGACTTTTTTGAACGCGTCCTTTCAGGAAGGGCACGTCGTGACAAAGTTGGGGACGGTGGAAAGCCAGAAGGCTGTGGAGCTCGAGGAATGCTGGAAAATCATAAGATTTTTAGACGCCGCAATGGTGCTAGGGTTTGTCATAATTGACGTCTATAAAAGGAAACGAATGACTGATGAAAAGAGAAAAGAAAGAAAAAGAAAGCAGAAAGAAAATGTCGTATTCCTTCCCATCTTTTCTAGATCTTAATTTGGCACTGCCAACACAGACATAGGGGCAAGGAGTTGCATCGGTCTGGACGTTCTACTTTGCTTCCTCATGAGGACTAGTGACAATAAACGAATCATTACTCTTTGACAACAAAGTTGTCATTGGAGTTGCTAAGAGTTTGGTGACTCCCAGGGATGTGCGCATATTGGGAATGAGGGATGACAACTGGTTAGTGAGCGACGTCGTGGCATTGAACGTGCAAAGTGCTGCATCTATCGCAAGTGTGGGGCATCGACTCATTGCGAAATCTCATAAGATGCAAGTATTGAGAGCTCAGTTGGTGGCAGAGCAGAATTTGGTTTATGAATATCATCGTGACATCAAAAGATTGAAAAAGAATAGGGCAAAGACAGCAGAGGAGAACCAACGCCAGCTTCAAATATTGCAAGAAGAAAACGAAAAGCTATCAAAGATGGTAGATTCTTATTCTAAAGGCATGCAAAAACAGCTGGAGGCCTTGGAGAACCTAGGGAATCACAAGTGAGATCACGAGACAAGTTTTGCTCAATCTAAGAGAGTGATCTTTGGGAGCTCAGTTGATGAGCCCCAAGAAGCGGTGTGTGAAGACCCAAAAGAGAACATCCAAAGGGCCAAACTAAAAGCTACTATGGTCCTATGGTGGAATCAAGAAGCGCGCCATGACGATAATGAAGATGAAGATGTTGTTGTTTTTTTTAAAACTTGAATTTTTTTAGTTTTTAATTTTTAGTTTTTTTTTAAAGCAGCCTTGTTTGAAGTGAATTTTTTTCTAACACTTAGAAATAAACTAACTAACCACACCACGTAAATAAATAAATAAAACTAAATTAACAAAATAAATAAATAAATAAACAGGATAAAAAACAAAGAAGTCCCAATTGCAATTTTAAAAAAATTTAATTAATTATTATTAGTAAAAATACAATACCCAAACTTAAATTTTATTTTAGTTAAACTAATTTTTTTTAAATAAAAATTTTATTTTAAGAACACATAAATGTACAAGCAACTCAAGGATGACCAGTTAAGGGCATCAGAAAACACAACCAGGGGTTCCGAGAAGGTTGGAGGGGTCACAATGGTCCCACTTAAAACCCAAATTTCTTAGACACCGAAGGTATCGCCTAAAGAACTCCTAGACACTGTATTAACAGAGGTGCTCACTGGAGTTACCAAACGTCAGCTCATATGATACATTCAAATGCTTAAAATGTTTTATTTTTAATTTTTTTTTAAATTTAAAAAGAAACATAAACTTAAAATTACTAAAATAATAACAAAACAAGTAAAGAGAAAGGATTGGAATACTCCCCCTTGAAGCAATTAGGTCGAGCATGGAGACATTGAAGGTCTCGACTTCTCCCAATACTCCACACTTCCTATCTTTATGATTGAAGTAGCCTTCTCTCTCCCTTTTTATTGAGCTAAAACAAACACAGAAAACTTGAAACATAATTAAAAGGATTACAGAATAAAAACTGAAATAAAAAGGGGAAAAGAGAAAGTAAAACCAGTAGGGAAATGAAATAGAACCAAACTATGTTGCCAATCCCCGGCAACGGCGCCAATAACTCATTGCATCGATTGAGCTGCACCAAAATTGATTCAGCTGCATCCTCAACTTGTGATACTCGCAAGTGCATGAGTCTTTTAGTAGTATAGCATATGTTAGTGCGAGGTCAATCCCACGAGGATTGATGATAGATTGATTCAAGTTGATTCCCTGTATAAACAAAAATGGAAACAAGGTTTAAAGATGATTGTGAAAACTACAAAGATTGAAAACAAGAAAGAAAGAAAATAACTAACTCAAGCAAATAAGTTCCCAAGTTCAATTTAGATTAACATATTGATTCTAGCTAAAGTATGATTAAACCATGGTGTCTGGTTCTAACCTTGTATACCTAATTCCCTAATTTGATCATCTGTTGTTTAATCTAAAATTAAGCATTAGGAATCCATTAAGCATAGAAGAACATTTTAAACAACCAAGTATGTATCTAATCTCGGTTGTCGAATTTCCATACATACTCTTCCTATTCATAGTTCAATTCGAATTAAAGCATGGTGTCTACTCTTAATTCAAATCAAGATAGCTAACATGCACGCCTTAATAGTGATCAATCATTCAAACTAGCATATTAACTTATAAGCATAATGAATAAGAACAAAAACCATAATTGAAACTTGGAAACTAATCAAACTTGAAAACTTACAATAAGAAATTACATTACAATGAAAATTAAAGTAGAACTCAGAAAAACTTAAAGGAAAATTTAGCAAAATGATTTTGTTACAACAACTGAGAACTAAAAAGGAAAACTAAGAGAATTTGAGGGAGAAAAGGGAGAAGGGAGAGGAGCTCTAGAGAGGTGTTTGAGAGCTCCCCCCCTTGGGGTGTGTTTACAAGCTTAGAGAACCTTACTATTTATAGGCCTAGGGGAAGTAAAAATCTAATTATACAATTGAGTTCACTAATCACACGCACTTCACTTAACACACAATTGCAATTAGGGGTGGGCACGGTTTGGGTTAGACTGATTTTTGTCTCAAATTAGAACCGATCCGGTACCATTCATCTGATTTGGTTCGATTTGGTTTTAATATAAAAAAAAATTCAAAAACTATCCGGTTCGGGTTGAATCGATTTCGGTCCAGTTTGATTTTGAAACGGATTATAAAAATTATTTTTTTAATACAATTCTCAACTGAAATATTATTTTTTTACTTGAAAATTAACAAATTATTCAATTTCATATAAAAATAAATATTAAAGTTAGAAAAGAGAGATATTTTGAAATTGAACTTGGATAAATATTAGTTTTTTTTTGTTAAATTAAAAATATAGCATTAAATATAAATATATATTGAAAATATATAATTTTTTAATTTGACCGGTTCGGTTCGGCCCGGTCCAATTTTTGAAGACATGGAATCGGATCCAAAACCAGTCTAAATCGGTTCGGTTCGGTTTTTGACCGGTTGTTGACTTTTTGGTCAACTTGGTTTTTTTCGTGTTTGGTTCAGTGTGGTTCGGCTTGGATTTCCAATTCACCGGTTTGAGTGCCCACCCTTAATTGTAGTTGAAAACAATTCCTCTTGTCTTTAGGCTTAGTGTTGCAGCTCCCCCTTCATCTTCTTTTATTTCCTTTGGTTGCTACAAAACTCGACTCCAATTATAAGTAATGAATCTGCTTCACCTAACTTTCCCACAATCAATAACACATCATGCATATGTCATGCATAACAATGCATTGCAGTCTTCTTTTGGGCTCCTTTTAAGCTTGTTCCTCCATTATGAAAAATCTGGAAAAATATGGATCTTGAAGCTCTTTGTCTCATCTTTCCAACTATATGCAGCACAGCTCAAGAAAAAATCGGAAAGGCCTTCAAATGTCAGTTTTGGCACAGTAACACAGATGCTGCCGAATTTCACCTTAAACTACAAAAACTTGCATAACTTCCTCTAGAAGACTCGGAATCATGAACCGTAAAATGATCCAGAAACTAGACTTTCGCATCTTTTCAATGATGTATGGCTCATTATATAATTCTTCCTAAGCAAGTATAGTCCAATCCGTGTAGTTGACTGATCTGTAGACACAGTTTTGAGCTCACTTGACTTCAAAATACATTAGATGAGTCCAAAGCTTAATACACTGAAACAAACATAAAAGAGATTAAAAGCATAAATTTAACTAAAAAACATAACCAAATCATAAGCTAGAATGGTATAAAATGATATGTAATTATGCACCGATCAATAATGTATAAAAAGATTACATCAATTAGACGGTAAATTCTGTAATTGAATACCCTCAACATCCGAATTGAAATTAACTTGAGATAGTTGTTTATCCGATTCCCCTTTCCTATTCGTCTTATTTATGTACATGCCCCCTGTGCTTTCAAACTTGTCTCAGATTACCACATGTGTTTGCAAACGTCTCAAAGTACCCCCAACCTTTTAAAAACCGTCTCACGTTACCTGTTCCGTTACGAATGTTGGGCCCTTCTCTTCTCCTCCTTTTCTCCTCCCCCCCCCCCCCCCCCCCCCCCCCCCCCCCACCCAGACCAGCACCCCTTCCCTTTGGTTACTGTTCATCCGACCAATTTTTGGGCCGCCATCTCCTCCTCCGGCCACCCCAAGTGACGACATGGGTATCAAAAGAACCAGCACTTTGTCTTCTACCAGCCTCACATCTCAGCCGCTGCCAACCGCTGTCTGGATCGCAGGAAAAAGCAAGAAATTGGCCTGTTTTTACCCAAAATCTCCATAGCTCGTTTGGGCGATTCTGAGCACCATTTGCTTCGATCCAGGTATGGTTTTTCAACCTCTCGAGCTGTTCTTGCTGCTAGTTGTGTTGGTTAGGATAAATTTCTGAGTTTTGGAGGGTAAATAAGCGATGAACAGTAACAAAGGGGAGGGGCTGCTGTTCTGGAATGGGGGAAAGAGGAGAAAAAAAGAAGAAAAAAGGAAGTGGGGCCCGACATTCGTAACGGAACGTCAAAAAACTGACGGAAGGAGTAACGTGAGACGGTTTTTAAAATGTTGGGGGTGCTTTGAGACGTTTGCAAATATATGTGATAATCTGAGATAAGTTTGAAAGCACATGACGTGTACATAAATAAGCCTTCCTATTCTTGATATATGTCATGAAATTCATATTTTCGGGCACTAGTAAGTAATCCCGAAAGTGAAAAGGGGATGGATGCAACCTTTTCAGTTCACCACTCTCTATCTAGTAACGATTTTACCTCCGATGGGTATTTAATTAGTAAATACTAGACTAACCCACACGGCCAGTCTCGAAAGTTCAGGTGAATCTTCGTGCGCCGCTGCCCCCGACCACGTTCTCAGGTAAACTCGTCGACTCGTTCTCAGTTTTCAGTTCTGTTTGAGTTTTATTTCATGACTATTGTTTGGGCAATTTCAGGTGTTGACTATATTCTGTGCTTTTGTGGATTTTCTGGGTTATATTTGCAATATGATTGATGGAAACAAATAGAAATGGGATCTGTTTCTTGTAACATGATTGAATTCCAATTGTATTGCTCTGTTTGTGTATCCACTGAATCCGTTTTCTGAACTGCATTGAACACTTAGGCTTCAAATTGTATGTTTCATTGAATCTGTTTATATATTTTCTATGTGGTACAATCTGTTTCTATATCCATGGAATGCTGAGTTAGAGTCTCTCTATCAGTGTAAGAAACAAACACAATGCTGAAGTTCCTGTCAAGGGTGAGGATTGAGTTCAATGCCTTGGACCCACGTACGGCCTCGTGTCTTGAGTTCTTGGCACAGTGCAATGCCCGGAAGGCCAAGGAGTCCAACCCCTCCTGCGCTGTCCAAGTCAAGCGCCGAACCGATGATGAGCCGCCCAAGATCACCGTCACCTTCGTCAACGGAGTTGAGGAGGTGTTCGATGCCACCGCCACTCCCGCCCAGGACATCAGGAACATGATTCTTGAAAAGGGTCAGAGCCTCGAGACTGAGCAGATGTTCCGCGACGCTGGTGAGCCTTGGCCTGTTGTTATTCCCGCCGAGGAGCTCCACCAACCGGCCCCTGGTACCAAGGTGCGTAAAGGTTTTACATTTCTCTGATCGTTTTTTGCTTTTGCTGGTTTTTTTTTGGGTGAACTGTCAGTGTGGCACTCCGTCGAACATCTAACATGCAATGAATGAAAAGGTGGTTGGATCCGATTTTATTGTTTTTTCAGTACTTACTGGCACTGTTTCTTGTTGACTTGATAGTAACTACATGCTTTGAATCTTTAGACTGTTGAAACTTATTATTATGTAATGTTTATTATTGGTGTAATTACCATTGTTGCTATTGCTGTGCTTGCTATGTGCACAATGATCCCGTTGCTATCATTTTTTATTCCTCCCAAATCCCAATTCACTCTTTTTTCTTTCTCCTTTTTGAGGTAAAGTTTATTATACAGATAAAACTATCACAATTTTCATATTTTGCGATTGATGTTGGGATTTGTTATCTAAAAAGAATCATGTCGAATTTTAGTAGTTGCCTCACCTGTTCATATCAAAATCCATATCGAATCATATCAGAATCCTCTTGCTTGTTATGTTTCTTGTGTTTTGTATTTGTCTGTGTTCCTCTGTGGCTATTGAAAGATGATTCTGTAGCCTTTTGCATCTGCAGCCCCCTTTGCTTTTAGATAGGGGGATTGAATACCTCTCTTTTGGTTATCTTATTACTAAATGCTCTTTCTGCTTAAGCCCTAGAAGGATTTTTTTTGTTATCTATTGTTTCTCTCATGGTGCCATGCGTCGTTCTTTCAGCCGAGGAAAGCAGAAGAGAAAAAGCAGTAACCTGTTCTCGTTTGATCAAACAGATTACTGGGGAGCGCTTGTATAGTCAAGTCTGCTAGATTTCAGTTCGGCGTTTCATTTGGAAAAGAGAATGCTGTATTGGAGTTGCAATTTAGACAATTCTGTCATGTTGCGGTTTTGCTTCACTGTAGAAGCATTTGGTATATTTAGTTGATGTTGAATCCTCGGAGTAGGAATTGTGAATGCTGGGAGCCATGTTTTCTTCTTCGTTTTTTTGACACTTTTGTTGGAGCTTACAGTCATTATAACATTGTTCTGGCCTGCATGTGAGAGAGCAAGTAATTTGAATAGATGGACTGCTAAGTGTCTCTATCTTGTCTTTAGACAATTCAACCAATATTATTTTTGTAATCAAACTCGATAATTGGTAAAGTTAGTCTCAAGTCCTCATTTTTCTCCTTTATTTGTTTCAATTTTTATCAAATGTTATGTTTCATCACGACAAATTTAGTCGTCAGTTTAACATGATATTTTTATTTTTAATCTTGAAATTCATTTGGAAGGGAAGTTTTTTAACATGAGGAATTTGAATTTTAGTTTTTAGTGTAAGTTGTTTCATTGAACTTCGAAAATATAGTAAATTTCAAAATTTCCCGTTATATTTTGACCCTTTATTGGAATTTTGGGTACTAAACTTTAAAAAAAACGCAGCATGACATCCCACTGTCCCCAATTTTGAACCTTTTTGTACTAGTGATAGTGAATCCCCCATTCTTGAAAACACAGAAACAATATTTTGACGTTTTCAAACTCAAGGCACAATTTTGAATCTATTTTATGAAATTGATTTTCTGTGTGTTTTCAAAATAACTCACCGAACGAATATTTTCATTGTTTCTGATTTTAGAAAACGGAAAATGACGACTAAAAGTGGTACCGAACGGCCCCATAATTTTTCATATTCTGTTTTTGTTTATCAATTTTATCACAACAGTAAAGTGAACTGTAAATTTACAAAGACAAAAAATGAGAAGTACTACATAAATAAAGGGATCTAAATAGCAACACAAGTAATGGTGCTAAAGCATAATCATAGAGCACAACTGATCAAACTTATGACTTGTCAATCAAAGTAGGCCCACAGATGCTTCTCTATTGTACAAAAACGGAACAAGACACACAGTTGGATTGGGAGAAAGTATAATTTCTGTCCATTTAGACAGCTTAGCTTGGCCAAAGCACGAAACAAAAAAGCTTGATGGCCTCAGCCAGCCCTCCGTCTAAGACCACTTTGCAAATCCCAACCCAACTACTATTATTATTATTGTTCAAACATAAGATGTGAACACAACAACTTCAACAAACTCTGGCATTTCAAGGGGGATGAGATAAACGAACATGTGTATACAGTTTCAATCTTTCGGGCCATTAGGCCTGAACACTAATTATACAATAAATGAAAAGGGGCAAAAATTGGAGGAATTACAACCATACTCTCAACTAGGGGTACCCGTACCCTGACCTTTGTCTCGATATGCAGCCTCTAAGCATTCCTTGGCCCTGTGAACTTTTGATTGAAGGTAAAAGGTCCCGTTCTTGGCATTATTTTCGAATAAAGTGTCGTATCTCTGCACAGGTTTAAGAAAGACTTTTTAGAACCCGTTCAAAATGCATATATGAGACGGTAAACAAGATATAAATGTGGAAAGTATTTACCTTCATAACTTCCTCCCAAGTGGTTGTCTCTGAGACATTAAGAATCTGCCTAGCTTCTTGCTCTGTCATGACCTTGCTGCTTCTACGAACAGCATTCTGTAATGTTTCTTGAGCCACACCCGATTTTGAGGCATCTACAAGATACCACAGATAATTAAATAAGGGCCAGTGCATCTAAAGTTGGTATGAAATTTAGCAGGGGCAAGGAAAAGAAAAACAAATTAGATCTAAGCTCTGCCAAATAGATAGTCTCCTGAGATTATGTTTGAGCACTTAAATATGTGCATAAATCTATACTCTAACCCAGGTCACGACAGTAAAGGGCAGAAGGGGACCAATAGTACCTAAATACACCCTTTGATATTTTTTTTTCCCAACATTGACGAGTATTTATCACTATTATCTGTAATCTGTACAGGAACAATTTCCTTGGCTATGTGGTTATTTGAGCTGCACCTTATTTCTCCTTAGGGATGGAGGTCAAATCTTAAACAATGAATTTTCTGAAGTTCCAGCAAATCCTTGCAAAACAGTTTGGCCTCTATTTCTCCCCAACATCACAGGCAACTTTGTTACCAACAGATGGTGAACTTATTAAAGCATATCTGAATCAGAGTTTGTAATCAGTTATGCAAAATCTCCATTTGAATCCATTATTATAGGCCACCACATATTTTTTCTCACAGCGTTAACAACCCATTTCACCTTCCTCCTATATCATCATGTCATGCTCAACTAAAACAAAAATCAGAAAGAGAGCATAATAACATAAACAAATGCAAAAAATAGCTTTCGCATTGTGAAAACTAGATAAAATAGGCCCCAGCCCAATTCAAGAAAGCTTAGACCATTTGGCGATTTTAATTTCCTGATAGATCAGAAACCTCTTGATCTACCTGTGGGATAGGACTACCAGACAAATATATACTAAATTTTTTCAAAATTCAATAGATAACTGAAACTAGTACTATTTTAATTGTTCTATTTTGGGACCATTCTGTTAGATGAGCTAGAACCTTAAACAAACATAACTAAATGAGCCACAACAGTCAAAAGTAACTTACCGAATCAGTATAAAAGCATGATTACCAAATCAGCTACATAATATTGCAAAAAAGAAAAAAACTACGCTATAATTACAAGCCACACATTGAGTTACCATGACCAAAGAAAACTTACTTTGAAGTGCCTGACGATATGCTTGAACTAGAGCCCTTGCCACTATACTAGAACCCATCACAATTAAGTTAGCAAGAATCTTTGCAGCCTGCACAAATGTATGAGCAAATGACATAAAGAAGACAATCTGATGAACATGAAGTCAAGAGAAATTAATGTCATTTTAAAATCAATGCTTCCAACATTGACTCTCTCTCTCTCTCTCTCTCTCTCTCACACACACACACACACACATGTTCATGCAAGCATGCACGCACTAAACTTGATGAACACAGTCACATGAAATCAATTTGTGATAGTGAACTCTCTGACCTTGTTCCATCTATTCCTATCATGATGTCACTAAACACTCAACAAAAATGCTTCTCGGAGGAAAAAGGAAGTTCAAAAGCAACCAGTGACATTTTCACCTTAACCATGCTCATCTATGAAACTATTTCTTCTAAACAGTGCATCAAGTAAAACAACAAAAACGGTCAATGCTGCCAAAAAATAATAATTTTGTTTCTTTAATGAGCATCACAGATTTTACTAATCTTCTCTATATCTATAAAACATGCCACAGCGAACAAGCTTTCCACTGGAAAGCAAACCAGGTGTGTAACCAAAACAGCACACAGTGACCAAATAAACCTGAGGTGCAATCCCAAAATGCCAAGCCAAAATAAAAGAGAGTCTAAGAGGCAGGTGGCTTCCAAATTCCAAACTGCATCAGTGAGTACAAATTTTATATCCCAAAAGTTCAGCAAAGCACACCAAGAAGCAAAAAAGCTAATTCTACCAGAGAACCCTTTAACTTCCACCCTATTATTTTCGAAAATCCATTTATCTCATTCCTTTCACACTACCCACACAGTAGCCATCACAGCCATCACACAGCTCCACAAGGCTTTTGGTTTTCCCCCCCACCCCTCCTCCAAAAACAAAATGTTTCTCAACAAACAAAGAAAGGCACAATTTGGGTAAGGACTTCAAAGAAAATAAAAGATATATCACAACCAAATACTTCAAAAGAGAGAACTGGTCAGAACTTTGAATCACTAATGGACTTCAGTACTGATACTTTACACTCATAAATTTTGACCCATTTATTTTAAAACGCCTGTTATGCAATCATGAAAACCCACTTATTTTAAAACGCCCATTTTACGGGCAGATCACAAACCAACAACCTTTTACCACATTTCAATTGTTTTTTCTCTATAATTGACCTTCAACCATACATCTCAGACTGGTAACCTGATTAAAGATCTTAAGAATGAATCATGAGATTCTAAATGCATAAACTCCATTCAGACAAACAGTTCCCCCGTCTAGACACTGCATTTGGCTGGATGGGCATATATGTTGATTCTGGAAAATTTCCCAAGGGGTCTAAAGAGATAGTCAAAATGCCGTTTATTATTCTACCATTGCAAAATAAGTAAGGCCACTAACAATTCAAGATGGCCTAGAAATAAAAAGTAGACAAATTTTTGGATTATTATTAAACCTTAATGTTGGGATAGAATAGAACTTAGTTTGAATTCAACCCAGCCATCAACCAGCCAATATTAAAATTAAATTGGGAAACAAATATACTCTCCTTTACATTAAAAGAAATTTTTTTGTCGATTTAACTTCTACAATAAGCATATCAAGCACCTCAATGCTCTAACTTTCCAGGAAGAAAAAACATCAACATATTTGCATACATGAAATATCGTCCCAAAACACCGTAGACAATCTTGAATTGTTGGTGGCCTAACTTCAAGTTTGAATTAACGTATAACCATATCAAAAATTGGACAAGTCTCACAACAAGTTGAATTTCCAGTTTTTTTTTCTTCTTCTCGGAAACTAGACAGAACATTAATGCGAGAACCGTGAAATAACAAAGAAGAGAAGAGGAAATGGAGCATACCATAGCTGAATAGTATCAAATCGATCACTCTGTCTGTCTTCTTTTCCGTACAAATTAGGGTTTCCAGTTTCTTTTTCTTCTTCAGAATTTCGCATATGTTGTTTTATTGATGTTTGGTTGATGGGTTTGCGCATAGGAAGCGAAAAACTTCGTGTGGCTTCGGATCTCCTGTAGCCAAATATACTTTGCCCTCTCTGTCTCCTATCTCCCATTTTGACACGTGCAACAGAGCTTTAACACTGTCAAGACTTATAAAAATTAAAATTAAAATATTTTAATTTAGATGGACGGTTTTAGCCCTCAAATTAATGGCCAAATTGACGGAAGCACTCAATTAGAACGGATGAGAGAGTTGGATGACATAATTGCCTCAAAAAATGTTCAAGTACCCAATTGCAACTTGAGGTAACGGGGTCGAGAGATGGTGGTTCGGTTAGTGGTGACATCCGGCGGTGGGGGTGCCCTCTAAACCTAAAAGGGGCAAAATAGTCTTTTTCCGTATCAATTTAAATGGGCCTGGGCCACCTTATTGACCGACCTATAATAAAAGAAATTTCTAAACCCATTCACAAAAGAATAATACTAGTCTTACCACATTTTTTATACCACAATTTTATACTATATGATGTGGCGGCTGATGTGTACATACCACATCATGTAAAATACTAGTTTCTGTTTTTCTAATTTTATTTATTAAAATATACTTCATTCATTTAATTGATATGACATATGATATGGACATGTCACATCATGTGGTATAGAAATGTGGGATAATAATGTGGTAAGTGTAGCATTACTCTTCACCAAAACCAAAATACTTGATTTATGATATCCTAATTATTAAAGTTTTTAACCACTATACACTAATTTTTCCTTTTAAAAAAATGTACATTAGATCACCTGTTTAGGAGCACATGCTACGTCTTTATTATAATTTGTTTTTCTTTTTTTATTATTTGTAAAAACTTATGTTTCAAAAACCATAAGTAAAAGTGCTTAGCAAAAATGAACTTAGGGCTAGTTTGGCATTGCTGTGCTTTTAAAAAAATTGCTTCTACTGTGTTATGAGAATAATCAGTTGTGAAAAAAAATCAATTAGGCGTTTGGTAAACTATATTTGAAAAAGTGCTATGAGTAATCAAAGTGTTTGGTAAATGACAAAAAAAAAAGTGCTTTTAGTATGTACAATGACCAAAAAGGACATGATGATGGAACTATTTGTTTTTCTTCTTCATTCTTTTTCTACTTAAAAAAAACTTCACTACATAATTTTTTTTCTTTTTTTATTTATATTCTACACGTGTTCCTCTCTTCTCAGAAAAGTAAATGCCTTTTGTTATGTATTGAATGCTAGCCCAACGACACCAATTGGAAACCCAACACAGCCCATCTATCCACTTCAATTTTTCTCTTTCTACCATTTACAAGTTTTTTTCTTCATTCCTTCATCTAACCAAAAACATCTCATGTTTCCCCAATTTTTTTTTTTCTTTTAATATGTTTCCCCCAATTGTTGTTAGTACTTTTTTTTGGATAGGTGAGACTGAAAAGGGGAAAAATTGTTGTTTGGGCCAAAAAAGAGGTCCACGCGCCAGCCCACTTTTCACAAAGGCCCACAAAACAGAAAAGACGGAGGATTGGACTTTGATTCAAAAAAAATTGAGAAAGCCCAAAACTATATCAGAAGACCCATGTCTTTTACAAAAATGGCAGAGTTGTAAAAATGTCAAGATTAAAAGGCAATCAACCACTGAAGCAGATTAATAAAAAATTAAAAGAAAAATTGGATTGGGCCCAGCTTCTGGCTCACCACTGATCTCAAAACCCAGAGTGCAAGGTTAGCAGATCTTTTTGGAAAGCCTATTCTCAGAACCCACATGACTACCTAACTTAGAAAAGTCAACAATTTCAACTATCACAAGAGAGTTGATTGGGAATTAAATGAAAGTAGGTCGTTAGCAGAAAGACTTCTCTGAAACTATGGGGCTAAAAGATCATAATCCTTTTGTATACAATTTTGCATCAGAGCAGGTGATCTTTCCAAGAGATAAGCAAACTACAATCTCAAAGAGATAAGTGGGGAGCAAGGAGTTGTTCAAATAGACAATTAAAACTAACCATCATAGTTCTAAACCCTTACAAGGAGTAGTTAAAATTGGAAGAAATGTTAGGTTTTCTTCAAGAAAACAAGGAAGTGATTGCCTTAGGAACTGACTATTGAGGGCTTATCTGCCAGAATTGATAAAACCCTTTTTCCTTTGAATTTTAATATGAGAGATCTTTTGAGAATTTCTGCTGCCTATTATTAAAAGAATTAGAAACCCAACGCCAAAACATTTCTTATAAATATAAGAGAGGGTGAACAGAACATAGGACAATCAAATCAAACAACCAAAAATCAACCAAAGACAAAACTCAAAATGATCACTTGATCTCTGAGAACCTTCAAACAAATTGAAGCAACCAAAAGCTCATACAAGCCACAGAAGAGGCCAGCTATAAATCAGAACTGCCAGTTCAGACTTAAGAGAAATAAGTCATTCAAAACGAGATTTTTCTCATTACAAATTTGATTCAGCAAAAGCAAAAACAAGCAGAGTTTGAGTTTTTACAAATATGAAAACCTCAACAAATTTATGGAAAGCCCTGACCAAGCAGAATAGGTACCATAATACAGTTCCAGCTCAGTAATCCTCAAGTCCAGCCACTTCTGCCCCTTTCAGACTGAAGAGGCCGCAATTCTGCCCATTCAAAAAGCCTCAAAGGGCTCGAAATAGATTAAAGCTCTGCCAAACTCAAACTTTGGTATTGATTTACAGTTGAAGCTTAGCAATTGAAGTTGGGAACAGTCTAGTCCAGCACAAGCATACCCAGTCCAACCCGGATCAGAAGCTTCTGTCCAGGCATAAATGGAAGTCCAGCCTTCTTTCTGTCTTTCGAGAGTTGATTTTTTAATGTAGAGTTTTGTAAAAGTCAGTTCCTTCTGAAAACAGTTCATTTTCTTACTATTTATTCTGGCCATAACTAGGGATGGCAAAAATTCCCGCGGGGACGGGTCCCCGACCCTAACGGGGGGAGATTTCGGGGCCAAATGGGTATCGGGTACCAGTGGCGAAACCAGGATTTCATGTATGTGGGAGCCTCTTACAAATTATAAAGAATAAAAAATTCGAACTCACAATACATACGAAAAATAGTATATATATATATAAATATCACATATGTCAAGAATTATATTGTTTATTGGTTGCAATCATAATTGTCCTCGACAAAGGGATAGACAAATACATTCTAAGCAAGAAAAATTGCAAGAGATAGACAAAGAATAGCGATTTAGCAAATATCTTTCAAGCTTTTTCCCCCATTAAACCCAATAGAAAGAAAAAAAAATCAAAATTTCACAAACTAAAAAAAAACCTTAGGTCACTTCATGCATTCATATCCTACATGAAAAAAAAATTTATGTAAAAATATTGACTAAGTATGAAAAATGGTTTTTCGGAATAATCATTTTCTCAAGATAATTTTTGGCGGCTTTTATTCCTTACACATCAAATAAGAAAACTTGATTTTATGAGATTTTAGTATGAAGTATATATTGACTTAATGAGCCATTATTTTTAGCCTAAATCGTATTTTGCCCTAAAACCGATTTTTCATATTTTGATTTGGTGGGAATTTGATTTTTTAGTATTTTTATTTGAATCCAAATAGGGGGTACTTCCTTATTTACATTGTAAACTTAAGTAAATGGAGTAAAATAAAAATAAATAAAAGTAAATGGAAAAATCCCCTACGGGTATGGTGAGAGGATGGTATTGGCGTTCCCATCCCCGAATCCGACCTGAAAATATATATGTTTATATTTAAATAAATAAATATATAATTATAATATTTTTGTTTAACCTTAGGTTAACCTCCCTATCCTAATTCTTCCTAATCTTCTTTGGAATTTCATATTGATGTGATTTTGAATAGTTGAGTTAAACTTTATAGTTAATTTAGGAGTGTTGAATGATAATTTAATATGAAACTTAATATTAAAATGTATGATAAATATTTTGTATGTAAAAAAAATCGGGAATTTAGGCCGGGTATGGGGAATAGTCCCCCTATGGGAACGGGGATGGGGATTCCCCGAAACCCATTAAACGGGGATGGGTTTGGGGACGGGGGCGGGGATGGAAAGTGGGGACAGAGATGGTATTGTCATACCCGGCCCCTACCCGACTCATTGCCATCCCTAGCCAGAACTACCAACATTGTACTGTGAAAAATTATGAAGTCCTCACCAGTCTGAGGCAGGAAAAAAACTTACTTGAGAGATATTCCTCACCTAAATTCACAATCGCTTGTTTAGAAATCAGTAACTTGGGGCGCAAGTTATCTATTTTTAAGAAGTCTAGTAGGATTTTTATTGCTAGCAGTGGCACGTTCACACACTAAAGAAAGTTGACTTGTTGACCAGTCAATGGTTTTTAAGGCAATAGGGAATTTTACCCTTCCATCACAGGAGCAAGCACAAAACGGGTGAACAATTTGGCATGCCCAGTGTGACTTATCAGTATACATACTCCTAGAAAAATCTTCTAAAGTATATGAATATTTGAAGTTCTAGCCAGAACCCACACTGCAAAATGGAAAGAGATCAAGCAGCTCTCCGAGAAGGGCTGGAGTAAGAAGAAAGTGATGCTAGGTAATCAGCCCATGGCAGTACCGGGAGCAGACGTTCTAGGTCTGGCTCCAAGAGGTTGAATCAGATACAGAAAGCTGTGTTCCGACAGGAGGCCACAACACAAAGGAGTTAGGACACTCTGAACAACATGATAGCCATGATACAATGGCAAGTCAACAAGCAGTTCAAGAAGGACCGAGAGGCTTCTATGGCTAGGATTCCAAACCTAGATGTTGTAGTCCAACAAGTAGACCTCCCTTACGGTCCTCCACCAGGATTGGCATGGCCATATCAAGAGAACCCTCTCGTCGCACAGATAGCTGGAATACCGGGGTATGGACAGTGGCGAACCCAGACTTTCGTTGATCTGGGGGCTTAAAAATAATCCCACCAATATAAAGCCAAATAAAAAATATTTGGGTCTAAAGTGAATTTGGTGGCTGAGTTCTCCACAAAATTACAGAATGAGTGAACTTAGTGGAAATCTCTATTCTTCTTTTATAACATAGGGTTTTTCTTTTTTAATATAAGCTTTGAGCTTAAAGTGTATTTATTGGATGGGCCATGTAGGGGCTCCACCTAAGAAGGACCTAAAAAAATAAAAATATGTGAGTATAGGTGGGATTACATGGTTGCAACTTTTTTGTGAGTGTAGGCAAGTGCCCACAGTAATCCTACATTGGGTCCGCTAATGGGTATGGAGAGATCCAAGATGGACAGAGGGGAGGAGCCCTTTCCGTCCAGGAGCATGATGTTCCAGTCAGGCCAGAAGGCCCTGCACCAGTTTAGGTTCCCCAGAATCAGCCAGAACCTCCACCTATTCCACAACCTGTGGCCCTTCATGATCAACCTTTGGCACTTCTGCATGAAGCACCACCTGTGTTGCCCTATAGCCCAGAAGGATGGATCCCAATCCATTATCTCCACTGGCAAGAGGCAGAAGAGGCAGATGGGGAATCAACCCCTTTGCCCACAATGACAGGAATCGACTGGGGACAAACTGGAGAAATCATCCAGATCTTAAAGAAGAGGAAGAACACAGGAAGGAAGTTCTGCCCATGCCATACAGAATGGAGCACATGATTGACCACGCCTAGCCAGAACAAGGACGAAATATGCACCCTATCAATGCCTTGAAAGATATTGGGGCACTACAGAGAATGATTAGGGAAATGATGGAGCTTGAAGCCAGAAGAGGGGAAAGGCCCACCTACAGAAAGCCATATCCGGCTTATATTGATCAGATACCTCTATTCTCGGGTTTCAAGGTGCCAAACTTCACCTTGTTCAACGGAGAAAATCCCTATGCTTTATCAGTTGAGCATATAGGTAGATTCTCTGTCCAGTGCATAGCCATAGAAAATAACCCTCTGTTAAAGTTAGGGCTTTTCGGGAATTCTCTCTCTGGACAAGCCTTCACATGGTACACCAGTCTATTAGCTAATTCTGTTCAAACCGAACAAATGGAAAATGTTTTCCATGACTACTATTTCAGGATCCAGCTAGAAGTTACCATCAGTGATCTTGCTGCCCTTAAACAGAATGTAGATGAGCCTGCTCAGGAATTCATAACCAGATTCAGAAAACTCACGATGAAATGCCGGATCCCTATGGAAGAAAAGCACTTCATCCAGATGGCTCAAATCGCCTTTAAAATCTCTATGAGAAAAAAGATTGACGGGATGCTGTTTGGAGATCTGGCAGAACTAGCAGACAAGACATCTAAATATGAGGAGCTTCTTAAGGAAGAACAACAGAAAAGGAACTCTTCCAAAGGCACATACTACAAATCCCTTTCTTCTTCAGTCCATCTGGTCGAGGTGGAATCAGAAGAAGATGGAAGGCTCGGAGGAAAGAGAAATTTCAGTGGCAGAAATGGAAAAATTGAAACATCCCATCAGCTGCAAGGCTCTTACAAAGCCACTAAAGGACCAGAAGCCACCACCATTCACAAGAGGGTTTGTTCTAAACAAACCAACCCAGAACAAGGTTTATTCCTTCGATCTAACCAAGGTTGATGCTTTGTTTGATGAAATGCTACTACAAAAGGCAATAGAGACACCCCACAGGCTGCCCAAGCCAGAATAACTCAAGGGCAGACGGTATTGCAGGTGGCACAACTCTTGGAACCATTCCACCAACAGCTGTCTTGTCTTCAGGGATGTCATACAAGAAGGAATAACAGCAGGAAGGCTAAAACTGGCTGAGAAACCTCCATTAGTTACAACAGATCCCTTTTCCCAGCCTCAAGTCAACATGGTCAACTTAAATTGGCTAGAATGGAAGAGAGGAAAACTAACAACAGAAGCTAGCTCCAGCAGAGGCGGAAGAGTCACAAGAGAAGCTAATCAAAGGCCAAAGGCAACCATCTCTGCTGGGGTAGTGTTGTGCAGTAAGTGCAAGTGTGAGAGTGAGTTGGAAGTAACTCTGAACAGGCACAATCAGCCCACGTCTAGCGTTTTTGACAGGATTGGAACATCATACCAATAGAGCCCAGTTTCGGCCCCATCTAAGGACAGAGCCAGATAGAATGACTATCTAAGGCCTCAGCGCAGCAGAAGGATGACAGAGCAACCAAAGAAAGAAATACCAATTAAGATACCCGGAAATGATAAGCCTTTGGCAACTATCATAGAAGGCAGATAGTATTCTGTTGGAAAAAGCGGCAGACCAACTCTGGAATTGACCAGAACTCAGAAGAGGAGGATTCAAAGGCAATACTTCACCTTCCTTAAGAACAAGGATGACATACAGGTACTTCCAGGGTCTAGTTCTGCCAAAAAAGGGAAAAGTCCAGAAAAAGCTCCTCAGGCAGAACAAACAACCTATCAGCCACAAGAGCTGATGAAGACAGAATCTCCAGACGGACCTCCCATCAATCCTGCCTCATCCTCAATCAATCAGCTTGAACCTTCACAAATACAAGGTGAATCCGAACCTATTCTAGCAGAAGGACAAGAAGACTGGACTGAAGAGTATGAAGAAGAGCAGTTAGACTATGAACCATCTGCAGATAACCAGACTGCACTCCTCGAAATAGGAGAACAAAAGGACTGGACAGAAGAGTATGGGGAAGAACAAATGGAGTATGACGTAGAACTAGATGAAGAACCTGAGGCTTTTGGTGCAAAATTAGAAAGCCTATTGCAAGGTGATTTGGGCATTAACATGGTGTTCATCTTGCCAGAAAAATTCAGGGTAGTAGAAGGGCAAGAAAACACTCTGGAGGGGGATGTATTCTCCCAAGAAAGTTTTAAGTGCAAATTGGCAGAAGTAGAGGAAGCACTAGCACAACAAACACCTACTGCCAAGACAGGCGGAACTGCCATGAAACTGGCTGCAGAGCAGCTTTGTTTCTCCAAACCAACCAAGGTGATGGCCAATCACCTCAGACCTCCGTTCATAACAGCAAACTTGGGGGGTATTACTATTCCCAAAGTAATGATAGATGGAGGTGCAACCATTAATCTGTTGCCTCACAGACTGCTGACCAAGATAGGCAGAACAGAGAAGGATTTAATTACAACATACTTGACTGTCACCAGCTTTGCTGGGGGCATCACTAAGACTCATGGAATCCTGGATGTGGATGTCGTAGTTGGAACCAAAGAGTTGAAGATTGCATTTTTTGTGGTAGATACTACTTCTACCACTTACAATGAATTGCTTGGTAGGGACTGGATCCACCAAAGTGTATGTGTTCCTTCCACTCTACATCAACAATTAGCCCTTTGGAATGAAGAAGGTTTCATAGAGATAGTATAGGCCGATCCACGGCCATTTCTGCCATCTGCCATGTGTTTTGAGGCAAGGTATTATCGTGATGACCTTGGTCTTTTCACATTCCTTGGAGTCAACCAGAACGGTCGCCCCCATGGTGTCATGGCCAAAGACTCATTGAGGATGGTTTAGCCAGTTCTCTAGAAGACTGGAATAGACCTTTTGTTCTGAACCTCCAGAACTCCGATGTTTAGTCTCAATCAACAAGAAAAGGATCAAGCTGCAACAATCTGATCCATTACAAAAAAGATTGTTGATATATTGAGAAGAAAGGAAGCTCTTCATGCAAAATCCAACCATTAATATGGCAGAGTTCACTCATAAGAGCATTGAAGACAGGAAGAGAGTTTACAAGAGGAAGTACTATATTTTGCACCAGCAGCACTGGATGACTCTTTGCCAGAAGTGGAAGATCCATTATAAGAGATAAACTTAGGGACAGAAGAGGATCCAAGACCAATTTTCATTAGTGCACTATGGAAGGAACCACTCAAGAGTGAAATCATTGCACTTTTGCATGATTTTAGAGACTGTTTTGCTTGACATTATCATGAGATGCCTGGATTAGACAGAAAGTTGGTACAACACAAGCTACCAATCAAAGAAGGCTACCTTCCAGTCAAGCAGGCCAGAAGAAGAATGTCTATGGAAACAGAACTGAAAGTCAGGGAAAAAATAGAAAGATTGCTCAAGGCAGGATTCATCAGACCAGCCATTTACGCTGATTGGCTAGCCAATATTGTGCCAGTTCTGAAAAGAAAAACTGGGGCAGTTAGGATATGTGTGGATTACAGGAATCTAAATTAAGCATCTCGCAAGGACGAATATCCTATGCCAATGGCAAACATGCTAGTAGATGGAGCTGCTCATAACCAAATGCTATCTTTTATGGATGGCAATGCAGGATATAATCAGATTATGATAGCAAAAGAAGACATCCATAAAACGGCCTTCATGTGCCCAGGACATATATGTGCTTTTGAATACACTGAAATGCCTTTTGGCTTAACAAATGCAAGAGCCACTTATCAAAGAGCAATGAATTTTGTTTTCCATGATATGACAGGGCATTCTCTAGAAGTATATATAGATGACGTGGTGATTAAATCCCCAGAAGATGGAGATCATGTATCAAACCTGAGAAAGGCATTCCTGAGAATAAGACAACATAAATTGAAAATGAACCCCAAGAAATGTGTTTTTGGAGTTCAGGCAAGAAATTTCTTAGGTTTCTTGGTCCACCAAAGGGGCATAGAGATTGAAAAAAATAAAGCAAAATTCATCATAGAAGCTCTACCACCCCGGAACAAGAAAGAACTGCAGAGTCTCTTAAGAAAAATTAATTTTCTAAGGATATTCCTATCCAATTCTGTAGGAAAAATCCAGCCCTTCTCCTCCTTGCTAAGGTTAAAACAGGAACATACCTTTAAATGGCAGGAACAGCATCAACAGGCTTTTGAGGAAATCAAACATTACCTCAGACAACTCAAACTCTAAGTCTCTTCATCAGAAGTGTCCATTGGAAGTCTTTTAGTTCATGATAACAAAGAAGGGAAGGAACATGCAGTCTACTATCTGAGCAGAACTTTGACAAAAGTAGAAAGGAAATATTCTACAATTGAAAGGCTTTGTCTAGCCTTATACTTCACTGCTATGAAACTCGGACACTACATGCTACCATTCACCATCTACATCGTTGCCAAGACAGACCTAATCAAGTACATGCTAATAAGGCCAATGTTGAGAGGCAGAATTGGAAAATGGACTCTGGCTTTCACAGAATTTGCTTTCAGATATGTTCCTCAGAAAGCTGTCAAAGGACAAGCTGTAGCAGATTTCCTAGCAGATCATCCAGGGGAAGAAATTGAAAACATGGATTATTTAGATATAGCAAATATAGATATGTTGACTAGAGCTCACACTTGCCTCAACAATCCCATCTATTTAGTTCACCTCACACCTTGGAAGCTGTACTTTGATGGATCAAAAACTGATATAGTCTCTGAAGCAGGGATTGTTTTAGAAGAACCACTCAAGATCAGATACTGTTATTCCTTCCAGTTAGATTTCCAATGCACCAACAACAAGGCTGAATATGAAGCTTTAATCATTGGCCTCGAAATGCTGGTGGAATTAGGAATCCAGTCTGTGGAAATCTTAGGAGATTCTATGCTTGTGTTAAAACAGATTGTTGGAGAATATAAGTGTCTAAGTCCTTCTTTAGCTGTCTATCTAGTGGCAGCCAGAAGCCTTCTGACAGAATTCAGATAAGTTACTTGGGAACATATCCCAAGAGAAGAAAACTTTGCAGCCAATGAATTGGCTCAGGTAGCAACAAGAATACAAATGCTTGAAGACTGTGTGCAAAGGATCATCAAGGTAGGAAAGAAAAGTCTACCATCTGTTATATCCAGAGGAATGGAGATAGATATCAATTCTGCCATAATCACTGAAGATGATTGGAGAAATCCCATCATAAATTACTTGCAGTATCCAACCCTGCCTTCTGAGAAGAGATTCAGAATCATGGCTTTGAACTATCTTATGTGGAATGGAGATTTGGTCCGAAAAAGCAAAGATAAGGTACTTATGAGTAGGGGTGGCAATTTCCGATACGACCCATTACACGACTCGAAACCCGCACGCTAAAAACACGACACGAACCCGCACGATTAAAAAACGGGTCATTTTCGGGTCAACCCGCTGCTGACCCGTTTATAAACGGGTGGGTTTCGGGTCAACCCGCCAACCCGTTAAAACACCTGTTTAACCCGTTTATTAAACAGGTCATGTCGCGGGTCGTGTCAACCCGTTTATAACCCAATAACCCATTTAATTACAAACATAGAAAAGAAACACACAAATATAACATAACATATTCTCTCTCTCATCTATTCTCATTCAAAAACCTAACTCCCAGCCGCCTCCAAATCCTTTCCGAACCAACAACTTTCAGTGTGGTTTCTCTATGGCCATTTTGGCTGGATCACACCCAAAAAAGAAAGAAAACTAAATCTTTTTAGGAGATCTGGGATTTGCTTGGGTTCTTGAATTTTCTCCTTTAGGTGCTGTTTTGTGCTCTCAAAGCCTTACAGGTCTGTCTTCGTCTCTCTCTCTCTCTCTGTCTACGTTGTTATTTTCTGTTGGTTTGGCCTTTGATCTTTATATGCTTACTTACTAGTTACTACCATACATGAAAAAACTACTTTTAAAGCTCTGATGCTTTCGTTTGAGTAATGGGTCGATTTGTTTTCTTTCATTTTGTTAGTTCGTTTACTAAGTGAAAGAGCCAGCCATTGTTTTAGACTTGTAAAGGTCAAAAAGTTCTGAATGTTGAGTATTGATCTTGGAAGTAGTTGAGTATTTTTTGAAATTTCTGAATGTTGGGGCTTAAAGGTTGTAGTATTCCCTTTGGCATGAATACCAAAATAATATAACTGTATATTAAATGATCTGAATGCAGAGTAGTTGTAGGCAAGGATTGAAATATCGGCCGATACACCGATATATCTGCCGATATATCGGTATTTTCAACTGTCGACACCGATACTGAGGGGTAAGGCCATATCTTCCCCTGTATCGACGATATATCCCCGATAAGTGCGATATTCCCGATATTTTGCCGATATCCCCGATATTTCCCGATATTTCCCGATACCCATAACTGAACCAAAAAAAAATTCAGAAGTTTTGAAGGCAATTAAAGCAAATTGAAATCCAAAAATAGCTAATCCTTGCTCAAAACACTATAATTTATTAATATGAAGAATCTATGCACAGTCCACTACCCACATATCTCCAATCCATCTGAAGAGAACATGGCGTTCAGTTTTGGATCTATGAGCATAGGAACTAGACCTAGTACTAACTCAAATGAATCTTATGATGTCTATGTCTATGTTTATGTCATGTCTAATTATAGTGGAACTAGTTATGAAGCTCAAGATGATAAAAAAAATTATGGACCTACTAGTTGGTTAATCCTAACTATCCCCAAGGATTGAAATATCGGCCGATACACCGATATATCTGCCGATATATCGGTATTTTCAACTATCAACATCGATACTGGGGGGGGTAAGGCCATATCTTCCCCTATATCGACGATATATCCCTGATAAGTGTGATATCCTCGATATTTTGCCGATATCCATGATATTTCCCGATAGCCATAACAAAACCCAAAAAAAATTTAGAAGTTTTGAAGGCAATTGAAGCAAATTGAAACCCAAAAATAGCTAATCTTTGCCCAGAACCCTATAATTTACTAATATGAAGAATCTATGCACATGTACAGTCCACTGCCTATATACCTCCAATCCATCTGAAGAGGACATGGCGATCAGTTGATCTATGAGCATAGGAACTAGACCTAGTACTAACTCAAATGAATCTTATGATGGTTATGTCATGTCTGATTATAGGGGAACTAGTTATGGAGCTCAAGATGATAAAAAAAGATTATGGACCTACTAGTTGGTTAATCCTAAATATCCCATATATGGGAGGACAATAGGGAGCTCAAGAGAGACCTATGTGCACCATGTTCAAACATGGCTTACAAACTGCTCGGGTTACATGACTTGATATGACTATTGTACGAATCTAGATGGTTGTTCCTCATTGTTTGAACCTCATAGGAGCTCTTCATTTATGTAAATGGACACTTATCTAAATTGTAATCCAATGTTTAAACAAACTACGGATTTATGCATGGTTTATTCATTCTAATTAACATTTTATTTTCGAACTTTTCATTAACGCGCATTACATACCACTTATATTTCATCATATGTATATCTCATTATTAGTAAATTTTGAGTTTCATTTGTTCAATACATTCATTGATAATGTACATAACATCTATGAAAGTTTTACACCAATATTATGTGTTTCAATGCCTATATCTGTCATTTTTGTTGATTTTTTTCCGATACCTAAAACGATAACGATATATCCTCCGAAATATCCGTAAATTGGAGGCTCGATATTATCTGCACGGCCGATATTTTAATCCTTGACTATCCCATATATGGGAGGACAATAGGGAGCTCAAGAGAGACCTATGTGCACTATGTTCAAACATGACTTACAAACTGCTCGGGTTACATGACTTGGTATGACTATTGTATGAATCTAGATGGTTGTTCCTCATTGTTTGAACCTCATTGAAGCTCTTCATTTATGTAGATGGACACTTATCTAAATTGTAATACAATGTTTAAACAAACTATGGATTTATGCATGGTTTATTCATTCTAATTAACATGTTATTTTCAAACTTTTCATTAATGCGCATTACATACCACTTATATTTCATCATATGTATATCTTATTATTAGTAAATTTTGAGTTTTATTTGTTCAATACATTCATTGATAATGTACATAACATCTATGAAAGTTTTACACAAAAATTATGTGTTTCAATGCCTATATCTGTCATTTTTGTTGATTTTTTCCCGAAACCTAAAACGATAACGATATATCCCCCGAAATATCCGTAAATTGGAGGCTCGATATTATCTGCACGGCCGATATTTTAATTCTTGGTTGTAGGAGAACTAGGATCCACAATGAAGAAATTGTTATAATTGTTATATGCTCTGTTGTTCTTATCAATGCTGAATCAAGGGACTTAATTTCCCTTTATCTAGATTGTAATTTTGATGTCTGCATGGAGCACCTGCTTTGAAAAGGTAGGAAGTCCAATAGGGTTGTCTACACCTACATTTAATGTCCCAAAATTTAGTCGTTGTAATGTACCTTTAAGCAAATAATAATATATTATAGACTTGTGATTTAAATTGCATGATTTTCATTGCTTCCATATAGTCCATTGACAGTGTTTTGATCAAGTCTGGAAGCTGGAGCTCATCTCATAGTTCAAAAAATATACAATTAGGGGTTCAACGTGCCTAAGTTTTAAATTCTTCATGTAAAAAAATCTCACATTCATGGTTGTGATTAATATTTTGTTTTGCTTTGTTTTTTTGTTTTTGTTTTATTGGATTTCTTTGTTTTTTGTTTATCTTTTGACTAACATAAAATTATTATGTTTTATACAGATGGATGTTTTTGAAGATGGGGGTGATAGTTTTGATGGTGAAGCAGCTAGAAGCAATGTGCAAGATTCAGATCCGTCTAACAACAACAATGCAGTTGCTGCAACTCATGTTGGTAAGAGACGTAGAAAACTCACATCACATGTATGGACTCAGTTTGAAATTCTTCCTGTTGATCCAGATAATAAGCTTTATGCGAAGTGCATGAAATGTGGTCATAAGTACTTGTGTGATAGTAAATATGGTACTGGAAATTTAAAGCGTCATCTTGATTCTTGTTTGAAATCCGATACCCGTGATATTGGCCAATTATTATTATCTACATCTGAAGGGTCTATCATAACAAGGTCTGCTAAGTTTGATCCCAATAAATTTCGTGAATTACTAGTGATGGCAATTATCAAGCATGAGCTGCCCTTTCAATTTGTTGAGTATGCTGGAATTAGGGATGTGTTTAATTACATTTGTGCTGATATCAAATTGATATCTCGAAATACTGCAAAGGCTGATGTGTTGAGTTTGTACAATAGAGAAAAGGGTAAGCTTAAGGAACTTTTGGGTTCAATCAGTGGTAGAGTTTGTTTGACATCTGATTTGTGGACTTCTATAACCACAGATGGTTATCTTTCTCTCACTGCCCATTTTGTTGATGCTAATTGGAAATTGCAAAAAAGAATTTTGAATTTCAGTTTTATGCCTCCTCCTCATAGTGGTGTTGCATTGTGTGAGAAGATCTATAAGTTGTTGACTAGTTGGGGGGTGGAAAAGAAACTTTTTTGTATGACTTTGGACAATGCATCTTCAAATGATAGTTTTGTTATGTTGTTGAAGGGGCAGCTTAACTTGCAGAATGCACTATTAATGAATGGTATATTTTTTCATATTCGGTGTTGTGCACACATCCTGAATTTAATAGTGCAAGATGGGTTGAAACACATTCATGATTCTGTGGGGAAAATTAGGGAAAGTATTAAGTATGTTAGAGGTTCACAAGGGAGGAAACAGAAGTTCTTAGATTGTGCTGCACAAGTTTCTTTAGATTGTAAAAAGGGTTTGCGCCAAGATGTACCCACAAGATGGAACTCCACATTTCTAATGATTGATAGTGCACTTTATTATCAACGGGCATTTCTGCATTTGCAATTAAGTGATTCAAATTACAAGCATTCTCTCACTGAAGTTGAGTGGCAAAAATTAGAAAAACTTAACAAGTTTCTCAAGGTATTTTATGACGTCACTTGCTTGTTTTCTGGAACTAAATACACTACTGCAAATCTGTATTTTCCTCAAGTGTTTGTGGTGGAAGATACTTTGAGAAAAGCTAAAATTGATCAAGATGATTTCATGAGATCTATGGCAACTCAAATGATGGAAAAGTTTGATAAGTATTGGAAAGAGTACAGCTTGATCCTTGCAATTGCTGTAATATTGGATCCTAGATATAAAATTCAGTTTGTGGAATTTTGTTATAAAAGGTTGTATGGTACAAACTCCCAAGAAATGGCCAAAGTTCGTGAGATGTTATGTTCCCTCTTTGATTTATATGTTCAAATACATTCTAAGGCCGAATCAGTTGTTGGTATATCAAGTACCTCAAATAGTGTTCGTTCTCATGTTGATGACATGGTATCAAAGGAATGCATGAATGTTATGAAGGTAAAAAGCTATTTATTTTGTTCATAATACATCAAATTTCAGTTTATATTTGACTACGTGCTCATATTAATAATGTTGTTATATTATTAGGAATTTGATACCTTTGAAAGTGAGGAGTCTATCACATCTTCCCAAAAGTCACAGCTGCAATTGTATTTGGATGAGCCTAAAATAGATAGGAAGATAAATTTGAATGTTCTTGATTTTTGGAAGGTCAACCAATTTCGATATCCTGAACTATCTATTTTGGCTCGTGATGTACTATCTATTCCAATATCTACAGTCGCATATGAGGCATCATTTAGTGTTGGTGGTAGAGTGCTTGATCAGTATCGTAGTGCTCTCAAACCTGAAAATGTTGAGGCACTAATTTGTACACGAGACTGGATATTTGGTGACCAAGGTATATTTCCCATCATCTTATTTATTGTATTTGTTTCTTTTTATCATCATCTAAAGTCTTATGGTTTGAATTGCAGAAAATCCCACTGTGGCACCCAACTTGGAAGAATTGACAGAGGATATTAGTAACATAGCCATAAATCTCTCCCAATCTGCTGAGTGCTCCAATACCATTGTTGCTAGTGGCTAAATATTTGAGTTAGGAATGTGATTATGTATTTTATGTTGTAATTTAATCAAAGATTTTTGTTTATGTTTTATTTGGATTTTAGAGAGACTTTGAAGTTTTTTAATTTTATTGTGATTGTGGAATGTTTGAGCTGGAAATGTTGGATTTGGAATGTTTAAGCTGGAAATGTTTGATTTGGCTGAATATTTGAGCTGGTTTATGATGGATTTGAAGCAGGTTAATAATAGGTTACTAAACATGTTATTAAATAGGTAGATTACCTGTTTATCACCATATATTTGAAGCAGGTTAATAATAGGTCACTAAACAGGTTATTAAACAGGTAGGTTACCTGTTTATGACCTTAGATTTGAAGCATGTTTTTAAACAGGTAGGTTATATGTTTATGACCCAAACATGACCTGTTTAGTAAATGGGTTACACGGGTCGTGTCGTGTCAACCCGTTTATAAACAGGTCGTGTTTGGGTTTGCAGTTCTTGACATGATTAGTAAACGGGTCGTGTACGGGTTGAGGTTTTTTGACACGTTTAAGAGTTCGACACGACACGAACCCAACACGACATGACCCATTGCCAGCGCTACTTATGAGGTGCCTGGGGAAGAAAGAATGTATGAAGGTCATGGGAGAAACCCATGAAGGAATCTGTGGAGCTCATCAAGGAGGAAGAAAAATGTGCTGGTTAATTAAAAGGTACGGCTACTTCTGGCCAACCATGATGAAGGATTGCATTGACTATTCCTAGGGATGTGAGGCTTGTCAAAGGCATGTCCAATCCAGTAGGCTCCTTCAGTTCCCATGAATCCAGTAGTCAAGCCATAGTCATTCAGAGGATGGGCAATGGATCTCATTGGCAAGATTTATCCAACCAGTAGCAAGCAGCATTATTTTATCATTGTAGCTATAGACTATTTCACCAAATGGATGGAAGCCAAGCCTGTTAAATCTACTACATCTCAAGAGATCATCACCTTCATATAAGAGCATATTATACAAAGGTTTGGCATTCCATAATCAATCACAATAGACAGGAGATTTTCTTTCATATCTGGATAAATGCTAGATATGGCAGAGGCATTCAAGTTTAAGCTACTTCAATCCACCCCTTACTATGCTCAAGCTAATGGACAGGCAGAATCTAGTAACAAGGTGATCATCAACATTATCAGAAAAATGCTCGAGAAAAATCCAAAGCAATGACATGAGAAATTATCAGAAACCCTATGGGCATATAGGACTTCAAAGAGAGAGGCAACTGGCATGACTCCATATGCTTTAACCTATGGTCATGATGCAATTCTGCCTATGGAGATAGTAGTCCAATATCTTAGAATTGCTCATCAACACAATCTGACTGGAGAAGACTATTCTCAAGCCATGCTGCTAGAACTAGAAGGATTGGATACAAGTAGAATCGATACCCTCAACAAACTCTTAGCAGGAAAATAGGTTGTATCAAGGGCCTACAACAAAAGAATTAAAAACAAGAGTTTTGAAGAGGGAGAAATAGTCTGGAAAGCAGTTCTGCCACTTGGAATACACATAGCTGGTTATGGAAAGTGGTCACCTACATGGGAAGGTCCTTTCATAATTAAGCAAATCCTTGGAATGGGGGCATATAGATTACAGGATCGAGATGAAAATGTTCATGCTGCACCAATCAATGGCAAATGGTTGAAGAAATTCTATCCAACCATGTGGGATTTACAGGCTATACAAATAGATCCTGGAATAGAGAGGGAACAAAAAGAAACTGTTATCTAAATTTCTGTTCAGAGTTTTTTGTATTGTAATTTGTTAAGTTTTTCTTACTTTTTCTGCTTTCTTTTACTTTAACAAAAAAAAAAAATCCAAATAAAAAGAGTTCCACAAAAAATAACTTTTATTAAATGTAGTCATTTTCCATGACTAAGTTTATTACATATTCAGAATTTAAATTCAAAGTCCTAGTTTCTTTAAAGTTTCTTGCAACCCAGTCTTCTTGGTAGAGATTTCTTGCTGGAGAAGCATCCCTTGATGGAGAGAGGCCTCTGCAATCTCCAATGTTGGTCTAGAGGCAACTACCATGTTCTGCACAAGAAAAGTGGTCTTGGTCTTGGTGCCCAATCCAACCCCAAGTCTATTCTGCCTCTCCCTCAGCACAACCAACTGGTTCTAGAGTTCTTCAATTTGTCTTTCCAACTTGTTAGAAGCAGTCTTGGCCTCCTTATAACCCGCAACCATCTAGTCCAGTTCTGCTTTCTGTTTCGCATAATCGGTCAAATTGGCTTATTGAGTAGCCTTGCAAAATTCAAAAGCTTTGAAGGAAGGCTTAAGGTCTTCATATCGAATGTGAAGATTGAGCACATCTCTTGCTAGGCCTAGGTTGAGCTCAAGGATAGGTCTGGGAGCCATGTTCTCCCTATGCAACAGGTCCAAATCTTTCATCAGCTGGTCAACGACTTCTCTATTCTCATCCAAGTCCAGCTCTGTTGACTGCCATATTTTTAGTCTATCCACTGCATCATCCACTACTTTAGACTTGGCCTTGCCCAGAGCTGAGCTGAGCTACTCTAGCTTGTCCAGCTGAGCATCTAGATCCATGGCTTCAAATTCTTCAGCAAATGAGGCCGTAACAGGTGAACTTGGGATGGAGTGGATAGGCATCTGAGAAGAAATTATCTTAGTAAATTCCATGCTAAAATCTGAATAGGAAAATAGTTAAAGACACGATGATACTCACAGCCACGATAGGAGGCTTGAGAGGACTGGTCACCACAACTAAAGTCCCAGCAGTTCTGCCCTCCTCCACCTAGAAAGAAGGGAACCTCAGTTAGGAAAATGGAAGTAGACAGGACTGCGCAAACCAGACAGAATTAAGAAAGAATAGGAACTACCTCAGATGCTGGAATAGCAACAGAGTGCTCTGCATCTACATCATCAAAAAGAGCCAATTCTGAACTAGTAGGCTCTGCTCTCTGGTTCTCTTGCTGTTTCTTCGCCAGCTCAATACTCTCTGCTATTATTTCAGCGGGAATTTCTTCCTATAAAAGACAGAGCTCAAGTCAAAGGGAATGCAACACAAAAGCCAGAACTATGCCAAAAAAGAAAGGGATCTCTTGCTATAATCTCACCTCTTCTTCTCCATCTTTTGTTTTCTCTTTATCTCCTTTCAAAACCTCCTTCTCCTATTCCACGGCTTCAATAGCCTCTCGTAGCTCTTCATCAGTCTCTGTGGTCTCAGTAAGAACTGCTGCAGGCTCTTCTTTCCCTTCAGACTCATTAACAGCCCTATTTCTAAGTCTTTTCGCCTTAGAAGGAGGAGAAGAGCTTTCGACTGGACAAAGGAAGAAAGTCAGAAATAGGGGCAGAACTAATCAAAAGGGGTTGACATAATTGAATACCAAAATTTTCTCTAGAGTGACGCTGTGAAGGTTCTTATACAGGTGAGCCGAAACTGTGGGGCCAAGTCTCACATCAGCATGATTATGCAAGGCTTTTGCCAAGTGCTTGTATTCCAGCAGAACTGCATAGGAGCGGTTGGGGAAAACGAACTTGTTCAACCAATATAGAAGAAACAACATGTGTTGCTGATCCTTATCCTTTTCAGTACTAAACTTCTTTAAAAAATTGGAAAAAGAACAATTCTAATTAATCTTGGCGGCAAGAATGGTGAAATGCTTGGCCAATCTCTCTCGATTCTTCCCTCTATGGTAGTCACCAAGCATCAGCAGGCCTCCCATGGGGCCTAAACCCAAATATTTGAGCCAGATCCAGCAAAGTCAAAGTCATGGGACCCAGACGGAAATCGAAGGTGTTGCTGGCGGAATTCCAGAAGCACGAAGCAGCAGCTAGCAGGTTCTCGTCTTTGTTAACAAAATTCTTAGACATAAGGATTGCGTCGTGAATTCCAGCCCTCTTCCAATAAGCTTTATGCCTCGGGAGAAGTCTGTCGATCCAATCAGACCACCTCACTACGTTGTTCCTCACTTCACCCGAGGGATAGGAATGACTCAAGTTCTTACTGAGCCAGGTATGAAAAGACAGAGCCGTAGAACTTTGGAAGCATAGAGGAGCCTCAGCATCTTCCTTGAACAAATTGGCAATTTCTTCTGGCACCGGGCCAAACCAACAAAGGTGTTTTCAAACAGATGAAGGACGTTTTCATCCAAATTCTTCCAAGCATATGGGTGAAGTTTACTACGAACCTCGATTGGATGATCATCAACCCCATCTCCAGAAAGATAAGCATGAGATCGAGAAGAAGAGGAGCCCTTGGCACGAGTGTTTGGAGAAGACATTTTCTTTCTCTCTCTCAGAATCAGACGAACATAGGGGGATTTCAAGGAACATAACCAAAGGAACAAAAGGTTTTTGAAAGAAATAGAAGTTGGGATAGAGCTAGGTTTTGATGAAATGGCGCGCATCATTGATTGGCCAATCATTAAGTCTGAAACCATTTTAAAACGATTCAGACTTAACGGGGCATTGTTTGGGCAAAAATAGAGGTCCACATGCCAGCCCACTTCTCACAAAGGCCCACAAAACAGAAAAGACAGTGGACTGGGCTTTGATTCAAAAAAATAGAGAAAGCCCAAAACCAAATCAGAAGGCCCATGTCTTTTACAAAAATGGCAGAGTTGTAAAAATGTCAAGATTAAAAGGCAATCAACCACTGAAGCATATCAATAAAAAATTAAAAGAAAAATTGGATTGGGCCCAGCTTCTGGCTCACCACTGATCTCAAAACCCAGAGTGCAAGGTCAGCAGATATTTTTGGAAAGCCTATTCTCAGAACCCACGTGACTACCTGACTTAGAAAAGTCAACAATTTCAACTATCACAAGAGAGTTGATTGGGAATTAAATGAAAGCAGGTCGATAGCAGAAAGACTTCTCTGAAACTCTGGGGCTAAAAGATCATAAACATTTTGTATACAATTCTGCATCAGAGCAGGTGATCTTTTCAAGAGATAAGCAAACTAAAATCTCAAAGAGATAAGTGGGGAGCAAGGAGTTGTTCAAATAGACAATCAAAACTAACCATCATAGTTCTAAACCCTTACAAGGAGCAGTTAAAATTGGAAGAAATGTTAGGTTTTTCTTCAAGAAAACAGAGAAGTGATTGCCTTAGGAACTGACTATTGAGGGCTTATATGCCAGAATTGATATAACCCATTTTCCTTTGCATTTTAAAATGAGAGATCTTTTGAGAATTTTTGTCACCCATTATTAAAATAATTAGAAACCCTACGCCAAAATATTTCTTATAAATATAAGAAAGGGTGAACAGAACACAGGACAATCAAATCAAAAAACCAAAAATCAACCAAAGACAAAACTCAAAATGATCACTTGATCTCTGAGAACCTTCAAACAAATTGAAGCAACCAAAAGCTCATACAAGCCACAGAAGAGGCCAGCTATAAATCAGAACTGCCAGTTCAGACTTAAGAGAAATAAGTCATTCAAAACGAGATTTTTCTCGTTACAAATTTGGTTAAGTAAAAGCCAAAACAAGCTGAGTTTGAGTTTTTACAAATATGAAAACCTCAACAAATTTATGGAGAGCCCTGACCAAGCTGGATAGGTACCATAGTACAATTCCAGCTCAGTAATCCTCAAGTCCAGCCACTTCTGCCCCTTTCAGACTGAAGAGGCCGCAATTATGCCCATTCAAAAAGCCTCATAGGGCTCGAAATAGATTAAAGCTCTGCCAAACTCAAACTTTGGTATTGATTTACAACTAAAGATTAGCAGTTCAAGTTGGGAACAGTCCAGTCCAGCACAGGCATACCCAGTCCAGCCCGGATCAGAAGCTTCTGTACAGGCATAAATGGAAGTCCAACCTTCTTTCTGTCTTTCTAGAGTTGATTTTTTACTGTAGAGTTATGTAAAAGTCAGTTCCGTGTGAAAAGAGTTCATTTTCTTACTATTTATTATGGCAAGAACTACCAACATTGTACTGTGAAAAATTATGAAGTCCTCACCAGTCTGACGCAGGAAAAAAACTTAGTTGGGAGATATTCCTCACCCAAATTCATAATCGCCTGTTTAGAAATCAGTAACTTGAGGCGCAAGTTATCTATTTTTAAGAAGTCTAGTGAGATTTTTATTACTAGCAGTGGCACGTTTGCACACTATAGAAAGTTAACTTGTCGACCAGTCAATGGTTTTCAAGGCAATGGGGAACTTTACCCTTCCATCACAGGAGCAAGCACAAAACGAGTGAACAATATGGCACGCCCAGTGGGACTTCTCAGTATACATACTCATAGAAAAATCTTCTAAAGTATATGAATATTGGAAGTTCTAGCCAGAACCCACGCTACACAATGGAAAGAGATCAAGCAGCTCTCCGAGAAGGGCTGGAGTCAGAAGAAAGTGATGCCAAGCAATTACCCCACAGCAGTACTGGGAGCAGACGTTCCAGGTCTAGCTCCAGGAGGTTGAATCAGATACAGGAAGCTGTGTTCCAACAAGTGGCCATAGCACAAAATAGTCAGGACACTCTGAACAATATGATAGCCATGATGCGATGGCAAGTCAACAGTTAGTTCAAGAAGGACCGAGAGGCTGCTATGGCCAGGATTCCAAATCTAGATGTTGTAGTCCAACAACTAAACCTCCCTTACGGTCCTCCACCAGGATTGGCATGGCCATATCAAGAGAACCATCTCATCGCACAGATAGCTGGAATACCGGGGCATGGAGAGATCCAAGCTAGACAGAGGGGAGGAGCCCCTCCCGTCCAGGAGCATGAGGTTCCAGTCCGGCCAGAAGGTCCTGCACCAGTTCAGGTTCCCTAGAATCAGCCAGAACCTCCACCTATTCCACAACCTATGGCCCCTCGTGATCAACCCTTGGCATTTCTGCCTGAAGCACCAGCTGTGTTGCCCTACAAACCCAGAAGGATGGATCCCAATCCATTCCCTCCACCGGCAAAAGGCAGAAGAGGCAGAGGGGGAATCAACCCCTTTGCCAACAATGACAGGAATAGACCGGGGTCAAACTAGAGGAATCATCCAGATCTTAAAGAAGATGAAGAACACAGGGAGGAAGTTCTGCCCAGGCCATACAGAATGGAGCACAGGATTGACCACGCCTAATTAGAACAGGGACGAAATCTACACCCTATCAATGCCTTGAATTACATTGGGGCACTACAGAGAATGATCAAATTTGACAGAGAAAACCCTAGATGCAGAAAGTTTGAGAAGTAGAACACCGAAAAATCATAATTGTAATTAAGGGGGGTGTATTCAATTAAGATTTTAAAAGAGTTAAATGGAGTTATAAAGTCTGTTGAGTTCAATGTAGTTCAATTGATTTCTATAAACTCCACATAGAGTTTGATTAAATTCCTAGATTGATTTTGATGCTGTTTGTTAGAGTTTTATCGTAGATTTTAAAAGAGTTGATTAGAGTTCTAATATATATATATATATATATATATTTATTTATTTATTTTATTTATATAATTGTACCCAATTGTAGAAATTGGGCGTCTGAGCTAACAAACGTTCAATATGACCATCATGTATGAGAGCCATTAAAGCATTTAGCACTTGAGCTATTGCTTCTATTGCCATCAACAATATCTTAATGGTTTCATAATCATGTTTCTCTAATTCTTCATCGTCCATTTCCTCTTCTTCTTTTTCTTCCTGGATTTTTTCATTCCATAGTACTTCATCTACTTCTTCCATCTATATGCAATCTTTAATTAGTTCATAAGAAAATATATATATATATATATATGAAGATAATTTTTTTCCTTTTTGTTTTGGCATGGACCTAAATATATATATATATATATATATAGTACAACGATAAAGAAGGGAAACGCAAAACAAAAAAAGAGGATGATTGTAGATGAAGAAGGCTATCGACATTTGATGAACAACAACAACAAAAAAGGATGTAGAAAAAGTACAGAAAAAAAAACAGCAACCAAAAAACTATTCAAGGAAAAAAAAACAGCAACCAAAAAATAAGAAAAGAAGGAGAAGTAGAAACAGCAATTGCTTGGATATATGACGGCAACAATAACTATTCAACTATTCATACATGATGTGCATCGAATACAAGTAGCAACCATTGCTTGGATATATGATGATGTATAGCAACAACAATTATTCAAGCACTAGAGCGTAGAAAAAGGGAAGAGATTTTTTACCTCCACATGACAAGCACACACGTTCAAGGATTGGAAAGCGTAGAGCAAGTTTAAAGTTTCTAGGGTTCACGTAAGATTTGTCAAGGCCTTTTGTATTTATACTTACCACTTTATTTTCTAACGAAATCGGGCAATTTATTAATTCCTTCAAAATAATTACTTTTTGAATACACCTAAATTTTGTTTGACATTTAAAAAGTCATAATTGAATACACCTAGATTTCAATGTATTTTTTTTAATATCAATTGAAATCTGAATTGAATACACCCAAACTTTTAAACTATTTTAAACTCTTTTAAAATCTTAATTGAATACACCCCCCTAAGTTACTGATGAGTGGGCAACCTTCTTAGCAATTAATTTTTTGATGTCCACAATGAGAGTTCTAGCAGCCTTAGAGAGTAGAGAAGGAAATGAAGGAAATGGAGTTCGCAGAATGGAGAAGAAAAAGGGGCAAAGGACTGTCAATTTGTAAAATAAGTGAGGGTATTATGGGAAAGTTAAAAGTTCAATAAAACAACCGGTTAAATGTTTTTTGAAGCAGCTTTTAAAAGCTAGGTAGAGACTGCTTCGAAAAAACAGCGATCATTGACCGCTATTTAAAAAAAGGCAGGATTCCTAATGTTTACCAAACACCCAACCCATGACAAATTTTTATTAAAGCTACTTTAAAAAAAAATTAAGCGCTGCTAAATGCCACCTTACTCCTTCCTAATAGTAAGATTTCAATAATAAATAATATATATATAAACCAGATTATATAATCGTTTTATTAGTCCCTAAACTTAAACCCGATTTGCATTTAAGTCTCCAATTTCCAAAATCTTTCCCTTAGTCCTTTAACTTCACTTTCGTTAGGACAAATGGTCATGCCGTCAATTTTGTTAACTTTTTGTTAAATGCATGGGTAAAATGGTATTTTTATATTAAAACAAAAAAATAAATAAAAAATAATATCTTTAAAATAACAATAAAATCAAATCAAATAAAAAAACCCAAAAAAAAAATTTCAAGTTTGGGGGGAGTAGAAATCGGGATAGAGGGGGATAGAGAGAGTTTAATTTTAATTTTTCAGTTTTTAAAATTTTTATTCATATTTTAATCAATTTAATACAAAAATATCATTTTGCTCCTGCATTTAACAAAAAGTTAACAAAATTGAAGACTATTAAGGCCCAAAATCCAGGGTTGGGCCCAAATAAATTCCCGGCCTAGTGCGACACTTTATTAAGAAAAGACCCGGTTCGGAGCATGCGAAATTCGTCATGCACGCTTACACGAGCCACGACCATGTGCCATGCCAAATGAATATGCAATCCATCACGCTAAGAATTGAAATGAGCCTATGAAAGGCACTGGCTCTACAAGTCCATGCTAATTATCCCGTCAAGCATCATGTCTCTTTTCAAAGAAGATAAAATTCAAGCACGTCAATCGACATGCAATGCCAAACGAAAAATCATTATTTTTACACTTAGCCACACTACAAGCTTAAGTGGGCCCAAGCCACTCAAATGTCTGGGGCTTGCTGAGTGGGTTGTGGTATGGATGGTAACGAGCTTTCATGAGGTCCATTGATGAGCTGAGAAATGAAAGTTTTAGGCTACTTGGGAGCCCCAAAACTCAAACCCATTTCTTGAGCCCAAATATGTGGGTAAGCATAAAGGAGAGATAAAAGCCTGATACTCTAGGAAAAATAGCACAATACTTTAGGAAAAATAGTCCAATACTCTAGGAAATTAGCACATTCCCTTAATGGGTTAACCCATCACCTTAGAAAGGTCCAAGCAACCAAGGAAAATATCTGCAGCCTCCAGCACTTAGCTGGAAGGGCCACGATAAAAGCCAAAAATGTCCATGTACGTAAGCTGTTGGGAGGCTCCAGCACATGGGCAAAACAAACATCAAGGTAGAACACTCAAAGAATCAGGGGGTATTTGCGCGCACAGGTTGCTATGAGAAGAGGTACCCTTCAAACCAGCGCCCTTACCCATTTCTTTTTCCTACCAGCTCTTGCCATGGAAGAGGGAAGGAAAGAAGGTGAGGAGGTAGCCGAAAATGGGAGTTCATTACTGAAGCAGCTGTGGGAAAGCCTTAGAGCTCTCAAAAATCTTGTCTTTGTGTATTTGGACAGAGGAAGATTTCATAAAATGGGATGAGTCAATGGGAGAGAAGAGAAATAAAATGGGAGACTTTGCAAAATTGGAGAGAAATGAGGAGCTTCCAGTGGCTATGAAAAGGGTCATCTCTTATCCATCAAACAAAAACACATCCAGGGAGCAAGTATCATCTCTCATCCCTGAAACCCTGCAATTTCGAGCCATATTCCTCCATCTCTTCCCATTTTATCTTTTGATAAGTCATTCCAGAGCTTGACAAAGCTTTCGTCAAGCTCTGGAAATTACTCAACACACCCATTGTTCTTCCCCCACCTCTCTCTCTTCAACGAACCCTCTCAAAATTCCTTCTCCTCCACTTTGAAACCCCTATTTCTCATAGGAACTCACAGCCCTCTCTCTCTCTCTCTCTCTCTCTCTCTCTCTCTCTCTCTCTCTCTCTCTCTCTCTCTCTCTCTCTCTCTAATGCTAAACTCATGACTACTTTGCTTCCATGCCACAAACTTCTCATGTCAAGCTAAGAATCTATCTGTAAGTGGCTGTTGTTTTTGTTGGTGAAGATAACCAGGGTGCTTCTTGAGACTTCACTACCATTTCGAAGCATTCTTGGGGTTTGATTCTTGAACTAAGACACAGGGGGTAATTTCACCCATTTGCCCCTTACTGCAGCCCAACCCATTTGCAGCTGCCAAAATGAAAAAGCCCTACAACGGCAGGACCATTTATCCTAACAAAACTGAAGTCGAAGAACCACGGGAACAATTTTGGAAATTGAGAGACTCAAATGCTAATAAGGTCTAAGTTCAGGGACTAATAAAATGATTAACCCTTGTTTACAGCAAATGACTTTGGTTAAGTCTTTGAACAACCAATATGCCTTTTGGTTGAAATGGTAGACAAACCAATACGTCTTTTGGTCAATTGGTTAAACTTTTAATAGTACTACTGTGATTTTTGTTGTTATCAAAATTAAGTTTGGAAAAAGGATGGGAGGCAAGTAACATTGGAGTTCGAACCTAAGATCAATGGTGTTCTTATTATTGAGTTATGGACCTGCTTGCAATAAAGCGTACTAACTTGATTAAATTCATTAAACTTGCAACAAACATAATTTTTTGGTTGTCATTTGAGTAAGTGGCGTTCAACACTTTCAGACAAATTGAATGGATACCGACGGCAACCCATCTTGCTCTCTCTATATATACTTCATATTGCTAACATGAAGTATATGTCAAAAACTAGTTTTAAACAGTTTCCTACTCTTTCTTCTCCTCTATAATAATCACACAATTTCCCAAGTGGCGGGGGTACATGGAGGCAGGACGGGCTGCTGCCTGGCCCAAAGTTTTCCCAAAAAATAAAAAGGCCCAGCAGCCTATATAATCTGCCCAGCCCAAAAAGTAAGGGTGTATATACATCGGTTCGAAACTAATATAATTTAGTCAATTCATATCCAATCCAATATAGATTAGATTGTAATTTTTTCAATCCGATCCAATCATATTAGATGTTTAAATCCAATCAGATCCAATTGATATTGGATTGGATTAGACTGGATGATTGGTTTTGATAATGGGAAAAAATAATAATGAAATATTAAACATTAATCCTTAGTTTAATCTAATCAAACATATTAATAGACATAAATGTAAAATAATAATGAAATACTAGAAAAAATTATTTTGATTATAGAATACATTAAACATAACTCCATTAAATGACTTAAAATATTCATAACATTTTCAAGTACAAATACCTATAAGAGCAAAATAAGTATAAACCTAATTAGATTGGATTGGATTGGATTGGATTCTCATAAGCAAATCCGTCATCTGATCCAATTATGTCGGTTTTGAAAATTACGAATCCAATCCAATCCACCAAATCATCAAAACCGATTAAAATTGGATTGAATTGGATCGATCGGTTTGAGCGTATTGGATTAGATCTTGTACACCCCTACCAAAAATAGAACAAGAAAACCCTTCTTGTACGCTAGCCAACCATGATCCACCACATATGATTCTCCCTACGAATTTGTCCTCTTCTTCCTTGTGTGCTCGCCCATCATTGGAGGAGAGGAGAGGAGAGCTAACTAGGCAACATAAAAGGTTCACACTCGAGATTGCTGTCGTTGATAACAAATTTTTTTATTTGTTTACAGTTCTCACACTCGAGATTGCTACATAAAGGAGAGAACCAGGAGGAGCACTTACACAAGTCAGAACTTTTTCTTTGTCTCTTATTTTTAATACTTCATTTTTTACTCTTTTGCTATTACTTATGATTTAATTTCACATATGTGCTGAGATGTTTGATTTTGTTGTTAGTATGTTTAATTAAAGGTCATTCTACATATTATTTATAAGTTTTCTTTTATTATATCGGATCACAATTGAAACCCCAAGACAC